GTTTCACCCCCACTCCTCGCAAGGCAGCGGGCAGTCCCCTCTCGTGCCTAGGCGAATCCGGAAGCCGCATAGGCCGTCGCAGGGCCCATCCAAACTCCATCACGCCCACCCTTGCCTGGATGCGTCGGCTAGAGGAAAGCTACACTACAAGCCCAGCCGTTGCCCACGCTGGCTTGTGGTAAGTACGAGGAATTCTTCCAGGGTTTCCCGCGAACCGGTCCTTAATTGCCATGGGCGCGACCATCAAAATCATGCACCCACAGCCCACCATTTAATATATTTTAATTAAGCAACACCAGAACGGTGGCACTAATCCAATCATTAACATAAGGACCTACAGTCTATACATTAATATGATTTCCCCCATTGTGTGCTAGTTGAACTAATCATGGCTAAGCACTCCCTAGTCCAATCTCTAGTCATGTTATATCCCAAGCTAACAAAGGAACATGGTACAAAATAGCATGGCTATGACAGTAGGTAAACATTCCACAGTAATATTATAAAACAATGCAGTATTTGAAGAAAAACAATAGAGCATTTGCAATATAGGATCAACATGTTCAAGTGACAAGCATGACTTGCCTTGCTCTGCTGCTGGAGGAATCTCGACGACTATCTCAAAGTACACCGGAGCGTCGGGAGAGCCGGAATCTAAGCGACATACAAAGCAAATAATACAAACAGGCTATAAGACTACTGAAACAGAGAACAAAACCATTTTTAATGGATTCTACACATTTTTCTTGATTTACTGAGACTTGAATGGACTTAAACGGAGCTCGGATGAATTAGTTATGATTTTTAGAAGATTCTCTGTGTTTTTACTAGTAAAGAAAAGTCCTTAATGAATTATTGCGCAATAAAGCATCCCAGGGCTGACGTCATAGGGGGGCAGGCGGCGCCGACATGCGGGCCCCACGGGTCAGCGGCTCGAGAGAGAGAGGGAGGGGCGCCGGCACGTGGGCCCTACTGGCAGTGGCACAAGGCGGGAGGGGGTGCGGCTGGCAGGCGGGCCCTACCGGTCGCGGCTCCAAAAAGGGGGGGGTGGCGAGACGCCGGCCGGGCCCGACATCAAGCCGGCCGGCCTGCCATGGCAAGGGCGGCGGAGCGCGCGCGTCGCCAGCGACGGCAACCGGCGGCGGAAGACGGCGGCGCGAAGGCGGCGGCCCGACCCGGCTCGGCGCTAGGAGGGAGAGGAAGGGGAAAAGAGGAGGAGGGGCGCCTCACCATGAGTTGGCCGGCGCGGGGGAAGACGACGGCGAACGGCGACGGCGACGACCGGGGAAATGACGGTGAACGGCGGACGGGCTCCGAGACACCCTAAGAGAGAAAAAGAGACAGGTTAGAGGGAGAGAGGGAGTCCATGGCGAGCGGGAACCGTGGCCGACGGCGGCAGCTATGGAAAGGCTCACCGGCGCACGGCGGACGGCGGCCTCCGATGGCGGAATTCGACGGAGGAGGGGTGGACGAGGTGGAGCTCGGCCACGCGAACCCGACGGCGGCGACGGCGTGGTGCGGCGGCGACCCTAGCGGCGGCTAGAGGCGGCTGGAGCAATGAAAAAAAGGCGGCGGCGGGTGGGAGCACGGTGCGGGAGCGATGGGGAGCTTGGGAGAGGCCGACGGAAAAAAGGAAAATGAGGAGGAGGATGTGGGGATGAATTATATAGGGGCGGAGAGGTCGGGAACGGCCGGGAGTGGCTCGATTTCGCCGGAGTTAGTGGGGGAAGTTGGAGGTGGGGAGAGAGAGAGAGGCGGGATTCGAATTTGAATCCCGACCATCTCGTGACGTGGGCGCGAGCGGGAGTGAGGGCGTGGACGCGGGGAAGGCGGGGCGTGTGGGGGTGGGGCGCGGGGAAGGCGGAGAAGGTGGGCGGCGCGCGCGTGGCGTGGCTGTCGCCGGCTCGGGGAGGCGGCCGGAGGTTGGGGAAGGGACTGACAGGTGGGCCCCACCTGTCAGCGCCCGAGGGAGATAGGGGGAGGCGGCCTGGACTTCGGGAGGAGAAGGGGAAGCGGACCGGCCCGATATGGGAAGGGGCGCGGGAGGAGGAGGAAATGGGCCGACAGCCCATTTGGGGAAAAGAAGGGGAAAAAAGGAAAAAGGAAAAGAATTTCCAGGGATTAAATATTGCTTGTGCTCAATTTTAATTGGTTAAAATTATTTCTAGAGCTCTGAAAATTCCACTAAAAATCTTGTTAGCGTATTTCGACATGTAGAACTCAAGAAAAATTCCACATGCCAAATCCGATTATTATTTGCATTAATTCATTAGGGTTTTCTCTTGCTTTTACACCGATATTTTCTCTGGTGGATTATAAATTCAATTTAGGCTTGGGAAAGAACTTCAGGGTGTGACAGGTAGCTTGTGAAGTTGTATTTGGATAAAGTGAAGACAATTAATGTGTGTATTTTTCTATTTCTTGGTATCTCCAAAAAAAATTATATATGGAATAGTACTACATGTAAAATCTCATTTACAACTAGAATTGTTACTATAAGAGAAACTCTTCTTTAAGAGAAGCTAATGTTTTTTTTTTTTCCATAAGGGACTTTCTAGAAGTACAGTTTGTTAAATGTATACAACTACAATGGTCGACGTTCCAGTTCGCATGCACACCCAGCAGCCCAGAATGAATTGAACCCGTGGTCGGCGGCGGCGCATCCCGCCGGCAAGCCAAAGGGGAAAGTTTCACCGGAGCAAACGCAAGACCGATTCGTCACGGGCTCGCGGCTAGGGCATCCTCTAGGGTTCATGATACCATTTCAAGCATCCTCATGGCATGGCGCGGCGCATCTAGGTGGCCAACGGCGAATTAGCGGCGGAACCAGGTGAACACGAGTGTGGGGAAATATGGCGAGCAACAAGACACAGCGGTAAGCTAGCTAGCTAGTAGCCTTTGGAAGGTGTATGAGCTAGGGAAAAAGGATTGGGAGACTACCGAGACGAAGGGCGCGTAGTGAAGAAATGCCAGCAGAGCGGAAGTAATCTTCCGACCTCGGCGCGAACCAATTAAGGTCGGGGTAAGGGAAGACGACCTCGCCCCAGTCGCCAGGAACGCACCGGCACCTCGGGCGAGCCACGCGGTGGACGAGAGCGGAGTGGTGGAAGCGATCGGCGAGCTCTAGGGATGGTGAAGGAGTGGAAGCTAGGAGGGAGAAAGAGAGCCCTGGGGCGGCTTTCATAGTTCATAGAGCTATCGGTCTGGAGGAGACCGAGCCAGCGGTGTGTGCCGAGCTTGTTGTAAAAGTTAGTCGATATAGTGGAACGACGACTAACCTTCCCGATCGTTTCAGTCGTTGATCGCCCAAGACATGCCAGATGACGACACAGGAACACACGATATTTGTTAACGAGGTTCAGCCGAAGCCTACATCCCCGGGGCTCTGATTATGGGCGCTCCTCCCCAACCAACATAGCACCTAGCCGCTACGAGTCCATGGCCACGCCGCCATCCTCTCCCTGCGTGTCTACGCTACATTGTAGTCGTCATGGTTACATCGTGGTGCCCCCCTCTCTATTTAAGAGAGTTGCCGGGTTACAGAGTCCAACTCTAACTCCACCCCTAACACCTATTACAACTCCAAGTCCAACTGTAACCAAATAGGACTAGTATATTCGACACCTATTCTAACAAACTCCACCTTGGAAAATATACGTCACCTAGAAGTAGTAGAATCACCATGCCGATCCACCTGTCCTCCAGACTTGGATTATTTCCTTTTGCAGCTTCACCACGAGCCGCCCGACGAGCGTACACCAGACTCACCGTCTTCAAGAGACTCCACTCTCCCTGTAATTTCTTCCTCTTGACTCCACCTGCAACAGCGCTCCGCCTTCTCATCTATCATCACGGTCGTCTTGCCAAGCGAAATTGGATTCCTTCCTAGTTGTCCCATCATAGACTCCCCAAAGACCATGTTCACCTCCACATTCCGTCTTTGATTTGATTCAATCTAATCCATGGCCAGATAACCAATGTCATCACTAAATAGACAAATCAAACTCACCAGGCATGAAGAACTGAACCCTTTCTTCCTTGTTGTCTTATGAACCAAGCTAACAAATCCAACATCCACGCTTCTTGCATCTGTAGACTGAATCCATGATATTTTGAGAAAATTCACCGTCGCCTCGAATCACTTGAAGAATTACCATGATAGCCTTCGCTCTTACTCCTTCAGTGACGCAGATTTCCATATATCCCATCATGCCGACCCGCATATTCTGGATATATCCTGTACTGCCAAACAGTATCGTTGACCCCATCAACGATATTTGACCCGATGTTGCCCGGGACTTCTCGCATAGCAAACCACCCGTTTGCCACTGCCGCACCGGTCCAACCAATCTGCTACACGGCCGGTCTACCTCCGTCCTGCTTCTGGTTCGGTCCGGCCAACACTCTAGCATACTCCTTGTTCCTGAGCCATACCTCGCCACCTTGCTGAGCAACCTCGTCACCGTGAGACTATCTCTACAGAGTTCCCAAGGAGCCTTCTCGCCAAGTCACTATTTTGCGCCGATTTCTGCCAATTTTGTGCCATATCGAATCTTCCCAAGCCAGCTTTTACCATTGCCCAAGAAAGTCCCAGTCAAACTGAATTCCAAACAACCGAGTCTGACTCTGATGGACTTATGCAATCCGATTGCACAACTTGACTCTAATGGCCACAGAAAAAGATACAACTCAGCCACCGTGTCCGCCTAGACCTCTGTTGCGTTTTCCTCACGTCCAACTTCCTCTCAGCAAATAGCTTGCCACACCACGCTCATACACAAATTATGCACCTGCTTGCATCTAGCCTCCCATGCATTAGGGCCTTTTTCTTTCCGCTTAGGATTTATTATAATCCAGCTTATTAGAAGTAAGCTGAAAGAAACAGGAAGATTATTTTTACAGCTTATTATAATCTAGATGATGGGTTATTGTAATCTAATAAGCTCACCAAAGGGAGCTTTTTCTGGATTATTAGATGGCAAAAGACCCACTGCCCCTGATTAATTCTAATTATTTACCTGAATTGCCACCGCGTACCGCTTCGTTTCTTTTTTTCGTTGACCGTGTGACCGCTTCGTATCCTGCGCGGGAGTCGCGAGATCCCCTTTCCCCTCCACTTTCTCTTCTTCCACCGAGAAGATCGGCAGGCGAGGGGGCTGTGCGACGGCATCGGCCTAGGCGAGCAGAGGGCGTCCGGTGCGCGGCAGCAGCGAACTCGGGGGCATGCTGCGTGCGGCGGCGAGGTCCATAGCCCATTCCGACGGAGATGGATCCTGCAGATGGTGAGGACTCCCTCTCGAAAGCATTTCGATACCGTGATGATGTGGTGAATAAGCGATCCCAATCAGGAGGCAACCATGGCGTCTCTGGCCTACATGGCTCCGGCAGCTTCTCTGATGGATTTTGGGGCGACGGCGTCGGCGAAGATGGACATATAGGCGATCTTCATGGCTCACCCGGCGTCCACGGCCACCATGTCTCGCCTGCCCCCCATGGCGCCGGCAGTTCTGGCGGATCACCCGTCTTCCATGGAGCCGGTGCCGGGCACCGCGACGCCACTGTGTTCCAAGCGGTGGCAGATGTGTCTCCCCCTGGCAGAGGCCGTGGACGGCGTGGCGGGCATGGTGGTGGACCTGGACGTGGTAAGAGATCGGCCACACAACCTTCCGCACGTGGTGGCCGAGGAAACAAGGTGCCATACAAGCCACCAAGGCCATCCAGCAGTGCAACTGTTGTCGGCGACGCCGAGGGAGCAGCTGGTGTAGACAATGACTTCACAGAAGAAACAATGGACAGTGCGCCTCATGGAATGGTACGTCTACTTCATTTCTCTACTTCAAAAATTAAGGTTTAATGCATTTATCTACTGCAAGGATTAGGTTGAATCTAATTGAATTTAACGTGTATGTGTACTACATATGAAAAATTAATGTGTATGTGTCTATGCTAATTGGTCATGTATTTACCATTTCTAATATAGAAATACTTGTGAATATATAAACACTAGTGGTGTAAAACAACATGTAAATCTGAACCTTGATGTGTTTGATTTATCAAATAGAAGGAGGAGCTTGATAAAGCAGATTGGTCTAGCACACACAATAGGATATTTTGTGAACTATGCGTACAACAAATTGAAGACGGCAATAGGCCTATCGGGATAATGACTACTAGATGGTACCAGATCATAGCCAAAAAGTACTTCCAAAAGACAGGGCTAAGACACAATAAGACACAACTGAAGAACCGGTGGGATGTGCTGAAATCCATGTACAGCTTTTGGCTTGGTCTCCTTAACGACACAGGGCTTGGATGGGATCATGCAAAAGGAACAGTTGCTGCACCTGTTGAGTACTGGAAAAAAGTCACCAAGGTAATAATTCATGTCTCATGTACATGATTTTCATGAAAATGTTTTAAGTGCTTGCAATAATTGAAGATTTGATGTTTTATTTTTAGGGACATTCTGAATGGAAGAAGCTACAACATGGACCACCAGAATGTTTAGAATTGCTGGATGAAATGTTTGGTACTATTGCTGTTGATGGTTCTTCTGCTTGTGCACCTGGAGAAAATGCTGGAGGGGATGATGCAAGTGGTGATGTACAGGACCTTGGCGACACACCAGTAGATTGCTCATTGGGTAAAAAACCAGTGAAGCGAGGGTCTTCCAGCACCGCCACTAGTCCATACAAGAAGGTTAAGAACCCCATGGTTAGGATAATGAGGAATATTCAAACCACTATGGATACCAATTGTGATATTGCCAACAAGGTGATGCAAGGTGAATTTAGGTTCAATTCCATTAAGGAGGTGATGGATTTGGTGGTGGATTGCGGGGCAGCAGAAGGAAGTGCGGAGCATTTCATGGCTACAAGATTATTTGTGAAAGCTGAACATCGTGATATGTTCAAGACTCTTACCACCAAGGTGGGAAGGCTCTCTTGGTTGCAGAGATGGTGCGAGAAGGAAGGGCAGCAGTAGAAAATTGCTAATTATTTATATGCATGAACTAGTTATCTCTGTTTTTACTTTGTCAGACAATATGTATTAGCAAGATTGCTACTTATTTATTCGCATGAACTTATGTACTGCCTGGCCATGTAATATGGCGCCTTAATTTTGATTGGATGAACTACTGTTTAGTGATCCATCAACATGGTCTTTCTGTGACTATTGAGGTGATATCATTTGTTGCATTGTTTGTAGATGGGCATGTATGGAAGTGATGATGACGATGAGGAGGAGGATGAAACTATTATTGTTGCTAGCAGACAACTAGATATGATGAGAAAATTTGGACCGGTGTTGACATCATTTGGTATGTTCTACGCTGAAAATTATTTGAACAAGTCCAAGTATAGAAAAGCTAATTTAGCGGGTCATGCTTGGGTTATGAGAAACCTTGAAGTTCCACAAGATTGTTATGACATGTTTAGAATGAGTAGGCCACTCTTTGAGAGGTTACATAATTTGTTGGTCTCATCTTATGGTCTGAAGTCAACTAGTAAGATGGATTCAGTTGAAGCTTTAGAAATGTTTTTGTGGACCATTGGGGCTCCACAATCATTTGTTCAAGTTAAGAACCGATTTGAGAGGTCAAAAGGAAAAATTAGTAGAAAATTCAATGAAGTGTTGCAGAGTATCTATCTCCTTTCAAAAGATCTTGTCAAACCTAGAGACCCAAACTTCACAACTATTCACCCAAGACTACTTGATGATCGGTTTGAGCCCCATTTCAACAATTGCATAGGTGCAATAGATGGGACACATATACCAGTAGTTGTGCCCGCATCAAAGGTGGTTCAACATGTGGGTAGAAATAAATATCCGACGCAAAATGGCTTGGCCATTTGTGACTTTGACATGAGGTTTGCATTAATTGTTGCGGGGTGGCCTGGATCGGCACATGATATGAGGGTGTTCAATGATGCTTTGCGCAAATATGCCGCTATCTTCCCTCATCCACCACCTGGTAACTTCTCTTATCCGTTTAATAGTCTCGTCGAACTAGCATCAATTATAAAATAATGTCTCATGGTTTATGTTTATGCTAACAGGGAAATTTTACCTTGTTGACTCGGGCTATCCAAATCGACTAGGATATCTATCTCCATATAAAGGGACCAAATACCATTTACCGGAATTTCGAGAGGGTCCACGTCCTAGTGGCAAGAAGGAGGTGTTCAACCACTTACATTCATCGCTTCGTAATGTGATTGAGCGCTCTTTTGGTGTTTTAAAAATGAAATGGAGAATTCTATTGGACTTACCAAGTTATCCAATGCTCAAGCAAACAAAAATAATACATGCTTGCATGGCGCTGCATAATTTTATTCGAGATAGCAAATTGAGTGATGAAGAGTTTGATCTGTGTGATAATGATGAAAACTACATGCCGATGCCTTCATCTCAAGGGAATGCCAGTCACATGGGAGACGAAGATGGGGACGCAAATGCCTTCCGTGATAGTATTGCTGATGCTTTATTTGCTAGGAGATAATAATTTGGTTTTAAGTCTAATATATATGTGGAAGAAATATTCATGAATGTATAATTATAAATATTTGTCAAATTTTTATTTATCTACATCAAATTTATATCTATTGTATAAAGTCACCGAATGATGACAAAGGCATCCAAAAAAATAGTTGAGGGCATTCTAGACTTTAGCCATGCAAACTCAATAATCCAGGTTTCCAATAATCTAGAGAAAGAAACAGCTCACAGCTTATTTTCCTCTAGCTTATAATAATCCAGCTTATAATAATCTGACTCAATAAGTTGGATTATAATAATCCTAAGCTGAAAAAAACAGGGCCTTAATCTCAGCACTGTAACATGCAGCTTGTGCATATGCCTGACGACCACCATGCACTAGCCATCCTATATTTTAATGCATGCAGCCATGATGATTGTATACAAATCGTGCCGCATGAAAGTGTCTTCTCCGATCCATGCGATTTGCTCGACTCCGTTCAAGTTGTACGCAAAGAACAGCATCCGTACTGTTCGTCTGTACCTCCGCACGCACCGCAGTCGCAGCCCTCGTGTTCACCGTCTACGACCCCGTCATCATCGGCCATGCACGTCCGCCGCGCCGCGCCACGCTCGCCGGCTTCGCCCTTCCATCACTAGCCTCCCTGCCGCCGCGGATCCGCGATCGCCGCGTGCGTCGGGCGCGCCGTCCATGGCGCTACCCCTCCGATCTCTCCGAACGCCTTCGGCCACGCCCGGCCTCGTCTTCCAGTCACGCTCCGCCATCGTCGGTCTGATCGCGAGTGAGGTCGTCGCCTCCGCAACGTCCTCGTTGTCGCCATCGATCTCATCGCCATGACTGACGATCTCCTGTCGATGCACGATCCTCACCTCGTGTTTCCTCCTCCACATGTCTTCTCGATCCAATACTGAAACCTTCTGCTCGATGGGTTGTGTAGGCCCAGGACCTAAAGTTGTGGCTCCGGTTGGGCCTGTGGTGACCGGAGCCACAACTTTAGGTCCTGGGCCTACACAACCCAAAAGACTAGTCTGATGGGTGAGGACCGCCCCCACCTTTTAAGTCGTGCTCCCCCACCATCAATTACCGATGTGGGACTAAACCCAACAATCTCCCCCGTCACACATCGGGCCCAATAATCTCCCCCGTCACATCAACCCATGTGACCCCGAAGACTTCTTACCTGGCCTCTCCACCATGTGACCCATGGAAATTATTCCGGGTTTCAAACCTTGGGCTCTGATACCACATGTTATAAAATTTAGTCGATATAGCGGAACGACGACTAACCTTCCCGATCGCTTCAGTCGTTGATCACCCAAGACATGCCAGATGACGACACAGGAACACACGATATTTGTTAACGAGGTTCAGCCGAAGCCTACATCCCCGGGGCTCTGATTATGGACGCTCCTCCCCAACCAACATAGCACCTAGCCGCTACGAGTCCATGGCCACGCCGCCATCCTCTCACTGCGTGTCTACGCTACATTGTAGTCGTCATGGTTACATCGTGGTGCCCCCCTCTCTATTTAAGATAGTTGCCGGGTTACAGAGTCCGACTCTAACTCCACCCCTAACACCTATTACAACTCCAAGTCCAACTATAACCAAATAGGACTAGTATATTCGACACCTATTCTAACAGAGCTGGCGTGGTCAAGGTGGGGCGAGCGCGTCAGAGCGGCGACGTCATCGGCGTGCCTGCCTCCGCGTCTCCCCGAGCTAGAGGACAAGGTAGAGGCAAGGAGGAAAAAGGAAAAGCGCGAGGCGAAAAAGCGAGGCCTCCCTCTGCTTGACTGCTTCTGGTGGCGCGACTGGCAAGGCGGACTGACCGGCGTCGACGCCTTGGACACTAGCGGCGGGGCCATGGTGAGACGCCGGCTGTGACGGTAAAGGCAGGCATGGTAGCTTGGCGCCTGGCGGCGAGCGGAGGCAAGGCGGCGGCCAGAGCGGTGACTCGCACGCGAGGGCGGGAAACGGCGAGGTTGCATGGCTGGCCGCGCTGGCGAGCGAGCGAGGTTGCCTACTCTCCTGCATGTGCGCGGCAGCACGTGATGAGCAGCCGTGGCGAGTCGGGCTCGGGCAGACCGGAGCTTCGGCACGCGAGCGTAAGGGAGAGGGATCTGCTGGGCTGTCCTGCTTAGATAAAGAAGGGAGAAAGCGGCCTGATTGGAGAAATAGGCATGAGAGGGATTTATTTGGATGAAGTTTGAGGGTGATTTGATTTGGATTTGAAATTGGACGTTACGGAGATTTGATTCAAGTTTGATATTTGAATGTAGGGACTACTCAAGGAAGGGAAACACGGTGGGACTCAAATATTTTGGAGTTGTAAGATTACTTGAAACGAGGATTGGATTTGAATAGTTGAAAGGATTTACTGATAGACTTAAGGAGGGAGGTTCAAACAAGCAAATTTAAACTCCGAGTCTATTTCGAAACGGTAATTTTGAGGAGTCAATTTTGGTTTTGAAGGAAAGGAGATAAATAGAGCACTCAGAATACGAGATTTTCACGGATAGGTATTTCATCAGTTTTGAACGCCACGTAAAAAACGGGGCATTACACTAGCTATAATCTCAAAAGAATTGTAATTTAGTAACGTTTGGTTTGGCTTTAAATCCACTATTCACAGGATGAGAATCCAGAGCTGAAGCTTTGTCGTAAAGGACAGTAATCGTGCCCTCTGGTAGGCAGTGCACCTATTTGCTCGAAAACTTCCGTAAGTTTTTTTTTTTCCTTCAAAACTATTAGATTTTTAACCATTGGATTACCTCGAGATTTGCGCATGAAAGAATTTTTTTTCTAGAAATAATTTTTTACACATATCACGCGTAAGAACATGATGCTAACTAATCAAACCATACTTGAATACAAGTTTTATATAAGTTACTATATCGTAGTTACCATGTAATTACAGTACAGTTACAATGTAATTGTGTCTCAATTATATACTACTATTGTTATATGTGAAAGTTTTTCATTAAAAGAATTGAGACATTTTTTTAGATACTCCCGTACCAAAGTTACTACCACTATATAAGGAAACATGCAATTTATCAAAATTGTAGTAAAAACTTTATATTAGACTGAAATCGTCTTATATCCGTGTGCATGGGCCATAACTTTACTCAGTTTAAACTAGTTTAGCGGCCGTCCATGAAATGGGCCTGGATTTAGCCTATATAAAATAGGCCGTACATGGGCCGATAATTGGATCTGAACGATACTCTGAATATTAAATTCTCGCGGAGATGCGTCCCGCCCGCCCGTGACGCGTACAGCCGTACACCCATTCCTCCACGCTGTTTGCTCCCCGCGCGCCACGAAGTAGAGTACTCCATCTCCCAACGATTAATGCCAAGTCAACAAGCAACAATTCTTTTTGTCGAACACCAGCAAGCAACAAATCATCCAGTCAGCCCGAACACAGATAATGCAGCCGTCGCAACGATCCCGCCGGCCACCGAGGTTGAGCCGCCGCAATGCCATCCGGCAGTCGGCGTACGTGGCCCGGCCGGCGTCACAGCTCTCGCCGCCGTCGGAGTCGGACCAACCCGCCTTCTGGTATTCGACGGAGGAATCCGTTCTGGAGGAAAGGGTTGTGGAAGATGAGGTCGGAGATCATGCAGAGGCAGGTGGAGCCGAGGCGGCCGCATTGGTGGTGGAGGAGGCGTCGACTTCGAGCTCGTCTGCGGTCTCTGTCCACGCGGCTATGGTGATCAGGAGGAGCATCTTGAATTGGAGTAAGCTGGATCTTATCGGGGCCGGATCGTCCGGCAGGGTGTACAAAGCGGTGGCTGAGTAAGTCCGCTTGCGATTTACCGTTTGCCTTGCTCATGAACTGTTCGATGCAATGCTTCATTGTACTTCGTGTCTGGTTGTGTGTTCTATTCTTTCAGCAGACCGGCAATTTCGGATGAGTTATCTCTGTATTTCTCAATGCTTCTTCGTATTATTGCCTTGTCAGGGATGGGTTTGTATTTGCTGTCAAAGAGGCTTCGTTGATTGGTCCCGAAAGCTATACGAAGCAAACCGCATGTCAGCTAAAGCAGGTAGTTTTATCTCTTATCAATTAATTAGGTGAAAAATTATCTTGTAAGTGTTTAATTAAGCAAATTGCAATTTTTGTCAGGGGTAAAATTTCAGAGTATTGATGTTCTCCAATTCTAAATGATTCCAAGTATAAGCTAATTCAGTATTAGTAACAACATTTCAGGAAATCTTGCTTCTTAGTCGGTTGGAGCACAAGAACATAGTGCAGTATTTTGGTGCCAAAATGGTATGCCAGTTCTCATATGCTAGTTGAACAAGTGTCTTCATTATGTTGCTGATCGCCTCTGCAAACTGTTGCCTCCCAAACACCTTCATTTTAGGTTATTTTTCTTCGGTTTGAGCTTACTATCCCTGTTTGGATTTGCTTGCAGGGAGAAACCGTGCTATGTATTTTCCTTGAATTTGTGAGTGAAGGTTCTTTGGTATCTGTATATGAGAAGCAACAGCTGGAGGAATCAACTATATCATCTTTATACAAGACAGATCCTCAATGGATTGGCTTATCTGCATCATCATAATGTAATGCATAGGTGATAACACATTATCTCCACAAAAAAATTCTTGCTGCTGGCCCGGTCATTTGAAAATGTACTTGTTATAGTAGTGATCAAGTTAAGTACAGATGTACAACTCTCGATCAAATGACTAAATGAGTGAAGTACTTCTTTGTCATATTATGGTAAATCTGCACTGTCCTTCCCTTTTCAATGCAGAGATATTAAGTGTGCAAATATTTTGGTTGATAAAAATGGAGCAGTGAAGGTTGGAGATTTTGGACTGGCAAAGGAGGTTACTTCATTTTTGGTTTCAGTGTCCTTTTTTCCCCTGGTTTGACTGACAGATTATGAAATGATTTTGTTTGATATTGACGATGTGAATTCTCAACCCTTTTAATTGATGTAATGCCAGATAAAAGTCTGGAAGCAGAAAAGATCTTGTACCGGAAGTGTATATTGGATGGCTCCAGAGGTAATTGTTTGACTTAGTATTTATACATAGAGTTTTGCTCCCATCCAGCAGGTACCATCGGGACTGTCCGGTACCAAATCTCAGCCATTTAATCAGCGAAATCGGACGGTGGAAAATAAGTGGTACCTCCAGGTACAAATTTGCCCATGAGGAGGTGCTAAAAAATTTCGAGTGGTGGAAGGGTAAATTTGTTTTTTCGCGTAGGAGTGTCCAGGGAGGCAGTGGCGAGTTGCTTCGTGCTTCGTCGGCGGCGGCGAGTTGCTTCGTCGGTGACGACTTGCTTCGTGGGAGGAGGCGGCGTGGCGGCGGCTGATCCGTTTGAGGCTGCGGCGTCTGATCCGTTTGAGGCGGAGGTGGCGGCGACGGCGGTGGCGGCAGGTGGTTCGTTGCGGCGAGGTTGTGTTGGGCGCAGTGGTGGCGGGCGCGGCAGTGGCCTGGTGCTGCTGGTGGCGGGCGCGGCGGTGGCCTGGTGGTGGCCACGGTCACGAGGTAGCGGCGGCGGCTGGTGTGTGGGCAGCCTTGGCTGCGAGGTGGCGACGGGCGCGATGGTGCCGGCCGTGGTGATGAGGTGGTCGTCGGAGCCGGTGTTGTGGCGGCTGCAGCGACGAGATGGTCATGGAGTCGTCTTAGCAGGCGATGTGGCAGTGTATACATCGATTTCTTTTCATCCGATCTAAATCATTAGGTTCGGTTGGTTGCAGCAGTAGATACTTTCATTTTCTGGGCTGCATATACTCTTCTTCTTCATTGCTTATAGGATTTGTATTGTACGATTTATTGGATGTTTTGATGAGCTCAACCATTACTTGTTCTTTGTGAATGTTCAAATGGCCAATACCCTCCCATATCATTTACTGATTACTGCAATTCGAGTAAGGGCGTGAATGAAGCCGCTGGTGAAGGAGCTCGCTGGTTCCGCCGCCGCGGATGGCAGATGCGGGGCGAGCAAGCGAGCGCACAGGCGGGGGCATGGATGCGGGGTGAGCATGCGCGCGGCTCAGGTGGGCTTCGCACGGGTGGGGCTGCGCTCGGAGGGAGGAAAAAAAAGGAGATTAGATGAGAAAGCAGCGCCACACGGAGGGAGGAAACAGAGAAAGAGCGAAAAAGAGAAAGCGAGGGTGCGACTCCTTTCTCTGTTTCCCGATCGTACCCTTCTAACATGGACGGATGGATTTATCTCTGTACCTGCCGGTACCAGTACCTGCCGGTACAAGTTGCTGGATGGGAGCAACCCTCTTAGACATATTAGTATGAAGTATCTAGATAAACGTTACTCTGAAGAATTTATTGCACTTTTACTTTACGATAGTCGTCCAACTTTCCGGACCAGCAGAATCTATATTGGTTATCTGAATATCTGATGATGATCAGGTTGTTCGTGGCAATCCGTATGGGTATTCTGCTGATATTTGGAGCCTTGGATGCACTGTCTTGGAGATGCTTACCCAAAGAATTCCTTATCCTGATGATAACTGGGTCAGTAAATCCTACAGTACTCATTTAGACTTCTTACAGTCTCTTCAAATTCGATACTGATTCAGTTCTATCAGGTATCAGTCTTCTACCAAATTGGCCGTGGTCAACTTCCTCCAGTTCCAGGCTCCATATCACCGGTGTCACGCGATTTCATCCACAAATGCTTGCAGGTGAATCCTGATGATCGGCCTTCTGCAGATGAACTGCTGAATCATCCCTTCGTGGCTGTTCCAGAACCAGACTAGTATGCTGCATGTTTGCTTAACATTGCTAGGCGAAGAACATTCAGTAGCTCCTTGTTTCCTTCCTGTAAGTTCAGGGTCAGAAAGTCAGAATGCTTGTGGTTGGAAATTCATAGTCCTATGGCTAATTTCACGAGTACTTGTTTGTACGACATCTGTTCCTTATAAAAATATCCCACTATCCAACTTTGCGACTTTGACCATTAGTTGGGAGAGCAATCAACCAATCATGTATTTTATGGTTGAGACTTACGACGACTTGCTACTCCGCGTCTGCATGTCTGAGTCTGAAGTCTGAACCGACGGCGCTGACGTTCCCGGTGACGAAACCAAACAGCCACACACTCTGAATCTTACAAGCAAAGCCAATTCCGCAATTCCCACGACTTGGTACTCGGAGATAGCGGTTGGTCGTAACGGGAGCAGTTAGCCAGTTACCGATGACGCCGTCTCGATCGACGCTCGGGTCGCTCTCGGGGTACGGGGAGGGTAGTCGGCTCCACGCCGTTATAAAAGGCCCTCATCCGCAACGCGGGTCTCTTTCCGGCGTCGCCTTGTCACTCGCTCGCCACCACCCCTCGGCGCCACGGCGAGCAGCGCACCGGGTCCAGGTCAAAAGCGCACGCACCCACATCGCACGGCCGCGTCGCCGTCGTCGCGCGTGAGCCCCCCGTGCCTAGTCAAACCCCACCACGAGCAGAATCCCCCAATCTTCTCGCGATCCGCTCGCTCTGCTGCTGCGCCGCGGGAGCGCGGGGGAGGAGGAGGAGGAAGAGGGAGGGGCACTGGCCATGGCGGCGCGCCAGCGGCCGCAGGCGCAGCTCGCGCGGATCAACGCCATGAGGCACTCCTACACCGCCGCGGGGGACGATGGCTCCGGGGACGACGTGTGTGGGGAGCTCGACGACGGCGGGGGCGAGTACGCGTCGCAGACCAGCTTCCGCATCCGCGGGGGGCGCGGGGCCGCGGAGGTCACCGCCATCTTCCGCAAGCTGGGGCTCTCCGGGCCCGAGGACTTCACCATCCCGCCCGCGGTCTACGCCGCCGCCATGTCCCACCTCTCCAGCTCCGCCCGCCGCCGCGCGTCGCTCGAGGTGGCTTCCCCGCCGGAGCTTCTAGAAGCTTCTCCAGCCGAAGCCGCGGTTCCGATGAATCGGGAAGCAGTCGAGAAGGGGGAGGAAGCTGGTCCGGCCCCCAAATTGGTTCAATCAGAGGTTACAGAAGTTTCCACACGAGCTTATGCAAATGCAACGCCTGCAGCAGAATCGAGCATCAGAGTAGTAGCTCCATCGGCCACCAAATTTGTTCAAGCAGAAGCTATAGAAGTTTCCACACGATCATATGCAAGGCCTGCAGCGAGCGTCAGATCAGTAGCTTCTAAACGAGCTCTGCTGAAGCAGGATAGTGCAGACGAGGACAAGGAGAAAGGTAAATTGGTCAGATTGGATAAATCACGAGAGGAAATTAGAGGAGAGGTGGTTGTGGAGGCGACAAGGGAGACCACCGGTGCCTCGGCTCTGGTCGTGGAGGCGACAAGGGAGTCCACTTCACGTGACATCGAGCATTTGATTTCACCCTCTCCTCACAGGCGGTTTAGGAGAACCATCACGTCCTGGCTTAAGGGAGAGCATCTCGGGAGTGGATCGTTCGGGTCAGTGTATGAGGCTATCAGTGAGTAAGTATCGATCTGCCTACTCTGTCTTGACGATTGCATAATTCGTTTTCATTATGTTTGTTGTTAATATGTTTGCATTTGCTACTGTTTTATGAGAGGAATACAACGAAGAAAGAATATCAATGGTTTTGGACTATGCAGAGAAATCAGAATATGTCATCTGTCTAGTTCACTTAATTGTTGGTATATCAGAATGAGTATTAGCTTCATGTGTCCACCGAACTGAGATTTCACAAATTGGCTGCATCCATTTCAACTTGTTGGGCTATTTATTTTATGCCGGGTTGAATGAAATACTTGAACATACTGATGCAACATATTATCTGAATCATGCGGCTAGCTAAATTTCTTACTCAGTGCTTTTACACTTCATTTGGCAAATTTAATTATTTAGGTGAACCCTTGTGTAGTTCTTTTGTAGCACTGCGTGGATTCCATCTAAACCACTCTTGGAAAATATAACTTCTGTCAACAGTTACTATATAGCCGTGCCTCGTTTTGTTAATAAAAAGCTTCATAATCGACTTTTAACATTTATTTTACAGTGATGGTTTTTTCTTCGCTGTCAAGGAGGTGTCATTGATTGATCAAGGGATCAATGCAAAACAACGCATTGTCCAACTTGAGCATGTGAGTTACCCTGTTTCAAACATTATGTTTGTTATTGAACTATTTAATATCCAAGCAACAATTGTTTTGTTTCAATCCACTGAGAATACTGGTGAATCATTTGGTTCCAGGAGATCTCTCTGTTGAGTCGTTTGGAGCATGAAAACATTGTTCAGTATTTTGGAACAGACAAGGTAATCCTCCTTTCTTATAGATGTTAATTCCATTAAGATTACAGTTGTGAATGTATTCTTTTCGTTTGATTTTAATATTATGTTGCTTTTACTCTGCTAGTTATCTTCATGTAAACAACAGTTGTCTGACTTGAGTTGCTGATTTCGACGTTTACGTTTACTTTGTTGGATAAACATTTTACAGGAAGATGGAAAACTGTATATTTTCCTTGAACTAGTAACTCAAGGCTCTTTGGCAGCTCTATATCAAAAATACCGTTTACAGGACTCACAAGTCTCAGCGTACACAAGGCAGATTTTGATAGGTTTGAACTATCTACACCAGCGGAACGTGTTACACAGGTGCATTACTATAATGCTCTATCAATGTGATAGTGTACTCTAGCTTAGATGTTTTTATTGTTTAGGATTTGCTCAACTGTATTCTTGCTGGCCTATTGATACCCCGTTCTTTCCTATGTTACCAGAGATATTAAATGTGCAAATATCCTAGTGGATTCAAATGGATTAGTTAAACTGGCAGATTTTGGGCTTGCAAAAGAGGTATTTGCTCTATCAAATATCTGATGTAATCAATTTGTCACTAGACTACATGTTGCCCTCACTCTTTCTAATTTGGCATGTCCCAGATGTCAATTTTGAGTCAGGCAAGATCTAGCAAGGGAACTGTTTACTGGATGGCCCCTGAGGTTAGTCTCACAGTTATGCTTTGGTCCTTTTTGTACAACCCATTTACCTTACGCTCCTATTCAGAAGAGTGTAGGTGCTTTACCATTTTATGTTTTAAGCATATTTCTATGCCTGATCTATTATGTTCATATTGTTCACCTCTTTATACTTGTAAGATGTTGCATGGACACATAATTGTATCTCTGTGGTCAAAAAGTCACGGTCTTGCAAGTTCAAGCAATATTTTGCATAAAGTGGTATGTGTCTCCATATTGTACCGAGCGTGTAAATTTTCTGATAGCATGTTCTCATTCAGGTTGCTAAGGCTAAGCCTCATGGACCTCCAGCAGATATATGGAGTCTTGGCTGCACAGTTTTAGAAATGCTGACTGGCAAAGTTCCATACCCTGATATGGAATGGGTGAGTATATCTCTTGTCTTACTTTCCAGTAACAGCATCCCATTTTTAAATACCAAATGCACTGATATACGCGGGCTGCACGCTATTTAATTAAAGGAGCAAAAACATTGATGACAACTTCTTCATGTTGATGACTTGTTTGCTTACATCAGTACGTATGAAGTATATCTTTTTGGGAAAATCAAACATTAGTTTCATCAGGAAAATTTGGGTAGTATTGGATTTAAAAATGTCAGTAGGAAAATTAAACATTTCTATTCAGAACTGCAAACAGCAAATCCACTGTATGTTGCTGTGTTAATTTTCTTATTATCCGGGAATTTGTATTATTACTGTCCGTGATGCAGTCTTTTCTTCTGCTATGTAGACGCATGCTTTGCTTAAAATTGGTAGAGGAATACCACCAGAAATTCCAGCTACACTGTCAGAAGATGCTCGTGATTTCATAATTAAGTGTGTAAAAGTAAATCCAAATGATCGGCCATCTGCTGCTCAGCTGTTGGACCATCCATTTGTCCAGAGATCACTGCAACATAAAGGCGCCTAATCACTCTTGTGTTGCTAACAAACTTGCTTGTACATAAGCTGGTCAGTATTCCATTCTTTCTCATACAAAAATTTCAAGAAATAGGGCGCTATGACTATGATCCTGTATTGCAAACATTAATGGATTTCTCTCTGTTGCATTTCATAGATTTTAATTTTACCTGTGGAAACAGGAAAGCTGTTGATGCTGAGGATGATCCCAAATCCCTTGCCATGATACAGCGGTAGTTTGTAGGAAGTCGAGCTTACAGCATGTGCAAGCTATATTCAACTGAAGATACCTTTCAGGCTGCTGGATCATGTGAACAGAAGATACCTTGTCAGGTGTTTACTCCGTGCCTTCACAACCATCAGGGTGAACAGTTGGTTGTCCAAAGTTTTTAGTGCTGATTGTCAGGGATTATGAGTTCCAGTGCGAACCATCGAACTACGTTTCATGACTTGGATAAAAACTGGGAAAGGTTCAAAAGGAGGATTAGTGGTATCTCGCCTAGTGGCCTATGGAAGCAGCCAAGCAGGGGACGTAGAAAGCTCAGTGCTCACGGCACAGTTAACTTTTCTGACCGCGTTTCTGTACAGCGTTTTTGTACCTGTAAAGTGGCTTCCTTGTGTATGTCATTGACTGTTGACGAGAAAATCCAATTTGTTTTATAGCCATACCGTGAAATTGTCCAGAAAAATCAGTGTGTTTTGCGATAATTCAATTCATGTTGGACTTCACTCCTGTGACTACACAGATGAGGGGGAATCATAGTGGCAGGACAGCTAAATGTACTGAACTACTGATATACAACAGTTCTCTAATCTAACGTCGGCTATCTTTTGACTTCAGAATATCAGTCTTCTGCATTCTCCAGTCTCCAGGGTCTGAATTCATCCCCCATCCAAGCAATCGATTACATGGTCATAATCATGCCCTGCCATCTCATGCATGAGCAACCCAAGCATCTGAGATATCTCCTCCGCCTGTGGATGCGACCGATCGCCGGAGACGAACTCGTGCACGTCGCCGTCGATCTCCACGGCGCTGTAGCCCGGCCTCTTCCTCAGCCCCCGCGCCTTCATCAGGCTCCGGACCTTCCCGGCGCCGTCCCACTTGCCGACGGCGGCGTAGATGTTCGACAGCAGCACGTAGTTGGCGTCGCCGCCGGGGTCCAGCTCGAGCAGGTGCTGCATCAGCTGCTCGGCCATGCCGACGTCCCCGTGCATCCGGCAGCCGGCGAGGAGGGCGCCGAGCACCACCTCGTTTGGCCGCATCGGCATGGTGGTCACCACCCGCATCGCCTCCTCGAGCTGCCCCGACCGGCCGAGCAGGTCGACCACGCAGCCGTAGTGCTCCATCCGCGCCGCGATGCCGTACTCCGCCCTCATCAGGTCGTAGTATCTTAGCCCCTCGTCGGTGAGGCCGCCGTGGCTGCACGCCGTGAGCACGCCGGTGAACGTCACGGCGTCCGGCTTGAACCCCTCCCTCCGCATCGCCTCGAAGTGCTCGACGGCGTCCGCGCACCGGCCGTTGGCGGCGAACCCAACGATCATCGAGTTCCAGGAGACCACCGTCCGCTTCCTCATTCCGCTGAACACCTGCCGCGCGAGCTCCACCTGCCCGCACCGCGCGTACATGTCGATGAGCGAGTTGGCTATCCTGACGTTGCGCTCCAGCCCCTGCCGGACCACGAGCCGGTGCACCCACATCCCGAGCCCCAGCGCGCCGACCTCGGCGCACGCGGAGATGACGGCTATCAGCGTGACGTAGTCCGGCTCGACACCGTCCAGAAGCATGGCGCGGAAGCAGTCGATGGCCTCGTCGTGGCGCCCGTTCTTGACGCACCCGTCGATGAGAGCCGTCCAGGAGACCTTATCCGGCGCCGGCATTCCGTCGAACACCTCGAACGCGGCGGCGACGAGGCCGTTCCGCATGAGGCCGGAGATCACCGTGTTGTAGGTGACGGCGGACCTCACGGGCATGGCGTCGAACAGCTGGAGGGCGAGGTGGGGCAAGCGGGACGCGAAGTAGAAGCGCACGAGGCAGGTGGAGAGGAGGAGGTGGGAGGGGAAGAGCTTGAGCACGCGGGCGTGGACGGAGAGCGCGAGGCGGCGGGCGAGCGGGGAGGACGGGGAGTCGGCGCAGGCGGAGAGGACGGTGAGAAGGGTGACGTCGTTGGGGACGGGCGCCGCGGGGGAGGAGAGCATGGCGGAGAGCGCAGCGGCCGCCGCGGGGAGGTCGCCCTGCTTCGCCGGGCGCGCGATGGCGGACGTCCATGAGGCGACGTCTCGCGGCGGCCGGCGGCGAGGTTTAGGGGTTGGGTTCTGAGGAGGTTGGGGAAGGGCAAGGGAAGGAGGGGCTACGACGGCCATGAGGTAAGGTCTATGGCTGAGGGCTGAGGCATTTCCCCGCGGGCACGTTGGCACGGAGCCTTTGCTCTCCCCTGGTTTCTTCAGGTTTTCTTCAGAATTCATCCCCTTTTATCCTGGTTTCATTAGCATCCCAATGATATGTTGGCGATACAATTCACAACATATATAGATCCTGTTCATTTCTCCAACAAGAGTTGGATAAAGATAAAGATTTTCATGGCACGGTTTTTAAACTGATAAACAGTATGTGTCATGCGAAAACTTTCTATATGAAAGTTGCTCTGAAATATCATATTGATCTATTTTTCAAGTTTGTAATAATTAAAACTTAACCAATCATACGTTAGTATCACCTCGTTTTACGTAAAAAAACTTAAATCTTCATCTACACCTTTATCTTCTAACTATGCCTGAATAAACACAACAGTCTGGTTTTCAGTTGAAGACTATAAGGTACGACGTGCATATGGAGCCACAAAATGAAAATATGCAGAAAAGAGAAAGCAACATACTGCCAATACGAGGGGGCAAGCCATATGCATCAAAACCACAAAAGGAGGCAAATCAAAGTCTAAATGATATTTTTGAACTTCCTTAACGAAAAGAAATTACATACAGCACAAGAAGCATCTTGCACTAGATAATTGCGCACAGCTGAACATAATTCTGCAGTCCAGTTCTTCAGTAAATCTAGTGAAAGTCAGATACAGAAGAAAGTTGCTTAAGGGAGGTGTATGGCTGGAGGGCAGATTCATTGGACCATCGGATCAGGGTTCCCAGCTGCAAGTATGTCCAGCAACGAGTTCTGGGGCTCCAGCTCTTCATGCCACAGTTGTAGTTTGTCTCCAGGGTGAAATTTCCTCGAAACACCATCTGCGTTTATCTGCAAGATTATCATATCCATAAGTTCAAGAATCATTGGTCTTTCAGAAAAGTAATAGCATTTTAAGCAAAGATAACAAGACATGCCTCAACTTAAAATTTACTTTGCCACATGCTACACATTTTCAGAAAAAGGAAGAGCTACAAGAAAATGCAATCAAAGCAAATAGATGCCCAACAAGGACATAAGAAAATTTGTTACTAATGCTTCCAATCATCCAATGTCTTGTCTACAATACCCTAACACATTTTAGTAAAAGAGTAAAACAGGTCTGAATGAAGTATAAGGGATATATCACACTGAAATATTATCCATTTTTGGCAAGAAAACCAGTCCATGGAAGTTAAAAAAGGCCAACTTTTTCATTTTAAGTTTCATCTGATACTATATTCTATGGCCATCACAGCAAACAGCATGACAAATATAGCATAGAAATTTACATGTTTGTATGAAGTCAACTAAAGCAATCAGTTCCGGTATCTGATGTTTCAAAATATCTACAACAAGGGAACAGACAATGACAATAAGGACGAAAAAAGGGAGCACTTACAGTGACGGTACGAACAACCCCTCCACTAGCACCATCACGGGCTATAGCAAGGGAAACTACCTTAACCACAAACTTCTGTAAAGATGAAGAGGAAAATTAAGTAATAAGAGATGTGATGCAGCCAGCAATATTATACAGGGAACACTGAAGTGATGGAAAATGATCTTTGCACTCTATGAATCTGGACATATAAATAATTTGTGATATTTTCATTAAATCATGGCAAAAATGCTGACAAACTATCTCTTATTACTCATGGATTACGACTGTTTGATATTTAGATGATGTACCTCAGCTTCTTCCTGGGACATGCCCTCCTTCCATTCGTGGTCAAGCAATCCATAGAGGTAACTAGAGCCTGAACCTGCAAAACTCAGAAATAGCATCTGGTGTCAGGCAAACAGCAAACAGGGGCTTGGGAAAATTTTATAGTCAATGATTATAACAGGGCAGGGTTGCACAGGACAGTGTTGGTAAACAAAAAAGAATGAGGCAAGCTAATTCAAGACATCAACAAATAAAGAAAGAAATGAATCTTGCTAACTGCAAAAGATTGCTTCTGCTTTGCTTGAAAAAATTAAACTGCTCAGGTAAGTTTGAAAAAAAATATCTCATAACTAATTGGCTTATACTATTGAACTGACAAATTATTCTTGTACGATATGTAGATATGTTATATATAGACACAAATGTTGGTGGGAAATATGTTTCCCATTAGATTACTCTGAGCCCAATGAAGAGACATTTGCCATAATATATATACCTCCGATTGCAAATGGTTGCCTCAGAATTGTTCCACCAAGGGGGACTGAGAAAATTTGGCCTCCCTCATATTTATCCCATCCACCAACAATCATGCCAGCTTGCAACATGTTCTGAAAAATAAAAAAAATGGTAAAAAAAAAACCATTGCGACAATAAAACAACAACTTAAAATCGTGTATCAGAGAAACCATTGCGACAATAAAACAATAACTTAAAAAATCGTGTATCAGAGAAAGAATTTCATCTCATGTAGTCATGGAGTTATTGGATCGCAGAATGCTATAGAAAATATACCTTGTTCTGATAAGCCAACAACCTAATTAAGTTGGCTGCAACTTTCACGGTAGCTGGCTGCCCAAGCTGAATTCTGAAAATGGAGGGAAAATTTAGCATGAACTGTCTTGCACATCAAATGTTTCCAGTAACTAGTAGAACAATATATATGAAGAGTTCATTCAACTTCTTCCTATTCGCTTCAAGGGGACAACTTACGTGTGTTGGTGGAGAAAATAGCGTACATAATCGGAAATTACTTGTGTATCAGCAGCCTGTGAGACAGAGAGAAACAAATATTTACATGTGAATACTACTGGACTCTTGGAAATGCCTTAGCTGATAATAATTAGAAGCCGACTACTAACAACTACAGAATAAATGAATCAAAGTAAAATATTGACAATGAGAGTGTAACTTATGAGAGGGCAATGAATGACTGGGAAAACCGATCAAGATGACATGACACAGTATAACAAAAGAACATATATAACTTGATGAATAGGAAGCTCGTGATTTCCCAATATCTTATGGCCACAGTACAATGAGACAACATGAAAAAGGAGTAAAGTCCCTAATATAGATACTTACAGATCCAGAGCGGCAGATGTACACATTGTCAGTTAGCTGAGTAATCTTGTCCGACGCACGGTTTGCCACATACATTCCTAAGAATTAATACCAGACAACAAAGGGTATATTAAAGGAAAGTAACAAAAACCAACATAGTACGTCAACATAACATCGATTTCAGTTGGTTCAGAACATGCACATCTAAGATAACAAGTCAGAACATCAAAATCATCTAAGAAAGCTTGTTAATCATGTAGACACGAGACCCAATGTTCTAAATTTCCAAAACAGCAACATCACGCTAAACACCAATCGTGTACACTTTTCTGACTCTTCACTCTTCAGGGCCAAACGAGAACTATATGGACAGAAAAATACAACTGGAACAATTGGTGTTGTTTCTAGTTTCCTCTAATGCTACAGTCACGATTTTTTCACATATCTGCCATACAAGTTTTAGCACGCATTCTACTCGTCACATACAGATTTAAGCAGGATAAATTAGTGGTAAGAAGCAATTTTCCATCAACACTACATTACGTGATCCACTGTGGACGCTATATATATATTACAACTAATAATCTCATAAGTCACAAACCTAAAACAGTAAAACTTGAATCAGGATCGCAGAGGCTAACAATCACTACTCCTATTCCCCCCATCCCCCGCGATTTTGCATCAAAATTGGGCCCGCGACGCCACCGGCTCCACGTTAAACCCCAACCACATCAATGGAAGAGATCTCCCGCATCGGGAGGTGTCGAGGCATACCGGTGCTGGTTCTGGAATCGGCGGCGAGGACGACGCCGCCGTCGTAGCAGACGCCGACGATGGTGGTCCCCATCCGGTGCTCCCCGGAGGTGGGATTGTCTCCCGCTGCGGCGGAGGGGGCGCCCATGAGAGAGGCGTCCATGGCTGGCCGGGGGCGGGGGCGAGATCGGCGGTGGCGGAAAACCCTAGCTTAGCTGCGCGGCGGCGAGATGCGAGTCGAGGCGCTCCTTTCAGTCGCGCGAGCGAGAAGAGACCAGACGGCGAGAGAGCTGTGTATGTTACGGTTTTGGGCTCTGGTCTGGCCTCCCCCGCAAGAAAGAACACGAAACGGAGACGAGACGAGGACGTGACTGGGTCGGAGTTGTCGCGTGCTGGTGCGGTTCGACCCGATGGCACCACGAGCCGGTGCAACCACATACCGACTTCCCGAGCCCGACCGAGGTCGGGTCGGAGATGACGTCAGCTTGACGTAGTCCGCATCGACGATATCCCACAGCATAACTCAGATTCAACACTACTTACTTCCAAAAAAAATAATTTACATAGTATATGATGTAACATATACTACGAATCTTAACAACTTGTATTCCCTCCATTCTAAAATATAAGAACTTATTTGATATGTAGGGAAAAACAACAATTTTAGAGGATTTTAATCATATAAGAATATTTCATATGGATGCCTTTGAAATAAAGGATTGAATTCCTATCATTTTAAAATTCCTATGAAATGGACAATCCTATATAGATTTTGAAGGAAACTTGAAAAGAGCTCTAATCTATTGAAGATTTTCCCTTGAGCCTATCCCTCTCATCTGACTCATATGTTTTCATGCATTTTGCAATCCTTTATTTTGTAGTTGAATTCATTTTTGTTTTTTCCATGCCTGCGATCCAAAGAGTCCCTAAAGGATTTTGATCGAATGGGACACATCTAACACTATAAATTTGGTTAGAACATCCTAGTTCTACTAATTTTGATAGAACATCTTAGCACTACGAAATTGGACAAAGCTATTCATAATAATATGATGTGTCCCATCTAACTAAAATCACTTATATTTTGGGATATAGAAAGTATATTACATCTCATATTATGTTAACTTATTTTGGGATGAAGGGAGCAGAGAAAAAAAAAGTTGCAATGTACTCTACAAAAACAGCATTGGAGGAAACTGCAAGCACTAAACAGATATCACAACCACCTTACTGTAAACAACTGAGGAGGAAAGCAATACACAGAAATCAAATGCATTGATTAAAATCGATATACATATTTCACCGGTTGATCCATACAGCAAAACTGGAAAAAATAACTCTTCAATTTAGTATTTACAAACCAAGACTCTGTACATCACCTGCTGAATGTTTTACAGCCATTTACATGTACATACATCAGACGACCCATACTGTACATTGGCAAGAAAATACGAAATTAATAAATCGAACATGTTGGCATTACAATTTACAACTTTACATAGACCGATCAACTATGCCTGAATAAGTACACCAATCTGGTTGTCAGTTGAAGTCTTGAAGCCGCAGAGAAAACTCAAATATGCAGAAAAGAATAACTAACATACCCCCAATATGAAGGACAAGCCCCATATGCATCAGAGCCACAAAAAAGAGGCAATTAAAGTATAAACGATATTCTTTTTGAACTTCCTTGATGAAAAGAAATTACATATCGGAAATGAAGCATCTTGCACTTGATAATGGTGCGCAAATGAACACAACCAAAAACCTGCTTGGCTGCTTCATCTGACGTTTCAACAATCAAGTTCTGCTCATGCCAACAACCTACAAAGCTGAGCAACCTAAGAAAAACACAGCCCTTCTTACAACAGTCAAATCTGATCCATATCTGACAACAACGTTGGAAGTGTTATTGTCCAACCTGAAAACATATCAAGGCTTTTCTGTCGTGCTGGTAGACAGATCCAATCTCTCAAACCTCAGTATTAATTCTAATGAATTTGGACTTCATATATTCTACCACAAGCTCATTCCAGTCTGACAGGGAAGCAAATGGCAGCAAACCAGCCAAGCATGGGAGAATAACCGACAGGACAGTATAAAATGTGTATCGGCAAACCCGATATGGTAAATCAGACGCCTTCGTTCTGTCAGTCACTGAAATAGGACCATAAAGCATGCGGTATAAAAGAGATGGCCTGCTGTTCCCAAATAAATGGATGAAGCAGAGAATCTCCCAGAAAAAGAGCCAGACATTTCCATCCCCGCCTAGTGTGTCAACGCAGAACCTTCCGACAGAACCACAGAGAACTCCCAATAACATAACATTGAACGTTATTGGCATGTTTGGTCCAGTCATTGCAGAACGCTGGAATATCAACCAAGCAATCAAGAGAATCATTAACATGCCAAATGACATCCTTGTTGCTGCTATTAAATGACACCTGAAAAACAGCAAACCCGAATTGAAAGCTGATACTGAATTTGGCATCCACCAAGATTTAGGTTCCTGCCAAAAAAAAAGTGGGTTAAAGAGATTAGTTCATAGCACAAATATTTACTAGCAGTTAGTAGCGAAAAATGATGGGACATACCCTTGAAGCCGCTGCACAAGCTGCAGTAACAGCAGTTATCCGCTTGTACGAATAAATATAGGTTCCATAACCAAAACAGACAGACATAAATACCACTGCGGTAAGGAGCAAATCTATAAGCCTCCTGAGGAGTTCAGCATGTCTTGTGTCCTCCATTTGCGTCCTAAATTTTTCCTCTCTGAAAGAAGCTTTCTGAAATCCCATAGAAATTTTGATCTTCTCTAGCATGTGTGAGTATGAGCTGAGAGCTATCTGAGATTGCTTCAATTGCAATTTCCTCATGTTTAGTCCTATTTCAAGTTCCTTGAGCTCATTTGAACGAGTCTGCTCATTCAGAGATCTCTCAAATACATTAAGAATGTGCCTATCAAATTCTGGACTAGCTTTATTATGAGGTAGTTTAACCAACTGCTGATCGGTGCCCGCATGAAGAATGATTTGATTATCCATTGAACTTAACGATGTACTCTCCTGGATATCATGTACCGGCCTTTTTGAATCAGCACCACTCAATTTGATTTCAGCAGCAGAAGTACCATCTTCGTGAGAAAACCGAGAGTTATCTTGCTCATAGACAGGTGTCTCATTAATTAAATGAAGTGTCCTCAATGTACTTCCAAATGATTTCTCAAAGTTTTTCGTGAAGTTGTCGAATCTATCACCATATATCTGCAGAATAACGTAAGTCAGATATGTAAAAAAACCTGTCTAAGTGTAATCACAGACAAGGAAATGAACCATTCATACATTTGTCAAGGACTCTTTCACTGCTGACGTGCACATCTGCATCAAGATTCAGAGTTAGCATACCTGAAGTTCTGTTATAGTCCATGGCCATCATTTGTAGAAAGGCTAATTACATGAACTGTGTACCTTTGAAAGGAAATCAGGTTGTAATCTTCCTTCAGAGCAACTGCTTCTATTAAGGACCTGAAACAGGATAAGGTCAGTTCTTGTTAATTACGAGTAAGAAAAGGTTAAACCATACAAGCTGAATCCATGCTTCAGAACCACAGTTCTCTACTGGAGAGCCCAAGAAATTCATTTGATTCATTTTTGTAAATAAACAACTTCATTTTAATTTGGCTTGGATGTATTTCATCATCCTAATGGCGAGACGATCATCCAGAGAACAGAAGGATTACATATCTGAGCCTACGCTTCAAAACACACGCTTCTGTTCATTAGTGCCGTCCCATGTAAATTTGCTTAATTCAATTTGGTTATATAAACGACTTTAGTTGAATTTAGATGCAATGTGAAAAGACGCCCAAAATGAGTTCCGGAGCAAAAGAATATCTCTACTTCTCCATCCTAAATTCATAATCCAATGACCGTCCCAGCAAGGCAAGAATTGGGTGAACCACATGAGGAGGGTAAAAACCGAACCTTTCCGCCGCGACTAAACAAGAAACCAGTCAAGAATCGAAGCGAACGCGCACCTGGGCAAGAACCGCCGCGAAGGACATCCCGAGAGGCAGCGCGAGGTCCTGCGCGCCGTCGGCGGCGCCCCTCCCATCCCCTCCAGTCGCAAGCAGCGGTCTCCGGAGCCTCTGCCGCCGCCGCCGCAGGCGCACCCCCTTCTGCAGCCGGGACGCGGAGCCGTACGACGACGCCGACGAGGACGCCCCGCCGGACTCCGGCGAGCCACCGCCGTCGCAGCAGGCCCCGTCCATAATAAGGGAGCGTGGCGGCGAGGCAGAGGCGGTAGGGTTTAGTTGCCGCGCCGCAATTTCTTCGCCTCGACCGGTGCGCGACCCGCTCTCCGGTGGGCTTCTCATAACGGGGGAGAGAGAGAGTCTAGGAAAGGCAAGTCAAAATGGGAACGCGACGCGGAACGGCTTCGGGGTCGCGTCGCGTCACGGTGCGGTTTACGTTAGCCGTTAAGCAAACTCGGAAATTCTGAGCAAACTTTGTGCCGTTTTGTGCGTGTATATTAGGCTTTTGGCCTGGTTTCCATTAAGGAAAAATGTTGTAAGGAAGGAAAGCAGTGTTAAATTATTATAGGAATATTATTTAAACTACTGGTGTTGTAGTATCCACGAAGTTTACCGTGTCATTTGAAATTTCTAAGAAGGTTTCACAAACTTTTTCCGAAATATTTGCCCGTCAAAAAACATGCACTGAAAGATCAAAAAACTTTCTTCAAGTTTTCGAGAGAAGTTGGTCAGTAGCTTTGGGCCCTGCACTGCCACTCGGTCTTTGCAGGCCGGTGCACATCAAGATTGGGCTGGATACTCCGCTATCAACGGGTTCCGCACCCACAAGGCCCGTTACGCTGCTGATTTTGCTTGCGCGCGAACCGGATTCGATGGCACGAAATCTCGTTCAATCCTCCCTTGATTAACCTGACGATTACCTTAACATATCTGCCACTTATTTATAACCACCTCATCCCATAATCCCATCCTCATCCAAGAGAAGATAGATATCCATCAATCAAATAACCATGGATGATGCGGCGGGTAGACCACCGCGCCCGGCGGCGAGGTGCCCACAGGCTGGCCGGCGGCCGACCTGCCGCCGATCACCAACCGCGACGGCCTCATTGTATCCCGATCCAGCTGAAGCGGCGGCGGACGTGGCTGATGATTGCTCGGTCTCCCGCCGCACATCATGGCCGACGAGGAGGCCATCGAGGATGTCGATCATGAAGACGTTCGCCGGGCTGGTCCGCATCATATCGACCGGTGGCTCGACCTGACGGATGGGAAGACGACGCACGCGGCTCGTCTGCGAGGTGGACGTACGTCGTCGCCGAACCATGCGAGGTGCCGCGCGTCCTCGCGCTCCACCTCGTGCCCAAGTGGCTCGTCACCGTCGTGCTGCGGAGACGCGACGACGACGCCTCCGATGACGGCTGTGACGGCGAGTCGGCTAAGGCCTTGTTCGGCACGCATGTTTCCAATCCAGGCCAGGAATTGATCAAGGCCAGGTTTCAGTGGATCCGGGTGGATTCACTGGAACCACCTGTGGATTGAATCCATTCCTTTTTTCAATCCACCTCTTCAAAAATCTGTGTTCGGTTTGACCTGGAATGGAATGAAGCCATTCAAGCTGCCGTGGATTGTCGATCGATCAGATCCAGTGATTCAGAACTCAAAACATTCAGTTAATGTCATCACTCATTAGAATTCAGAATCATGCACATTTCTAATTTCTAACAGTAATAGTATATTGCAGGAGTTAATTAACCAAAATTCCCAAATAGAAAGACAGGGAACACCCTGAATAGCATCAGGACAATTCTTCACCATATTCAGTTGCTGTCATCATTCATCAGAATTCAGAACATCATGCATATTTCTATCTAGTTAAGCATGAACAGTAATATATTTCAGGATTAAGCACATTCTTTTCAGGACTATATCACTAATCAATCTGGCTTCGCCTTCCTCCGGTCCCTCTGGTAGCAATCCATCGGCATTTGGGAATATCAATTGATTATCCGCTGCAGCCATAGCAAAGAAATCTTGCGGTTAAGACTTAGACAGTGTGATATAGAAGCAGTACAACTCTTGCAAGTAAAAACAGAGCAAGTAAAAATACAATAGAGCTGTTGAACTTCACACTTATTATCCATTTTACAAGTTTGTTTGCATGCATTCAAACAAACTTGGGGGATCTGCATTTGTGTTATCATCATAAAAGGGCTATCCTATGTGGACACAACATTTGATATCTTCAGATTCGAAAAAACCAAACTTGTCGGCTTATATAATAAGTAGATATGTGAAGTCTAATACAACATAATATCAAGTAAATTCAAAAGAAAATTTGGTAATGAACAGAGAATTTCCATTTATTCACATGTTTGAGTTTTTTAATTAGCCTAAACTACCCAGAGCTTAGAAAGAAAATGGTCCTATTCCAGGACTTAGATGTAATTGAAAAATATGAGCCTATTTGTTGTTGTCATTTATTACAGACTACATAAGAGGCAATTTAGCTGAAAAAAATGTTAAGATACTGCACTGTAGTTGCCAGAATGAGGCAGCCAAAAAAGAGGCAACAAAATCATCTTCCTACTGCAGTTCAATTTATATTTCAGCATCGATGCGCAAAGCTTTCTTCTCCAAATAAAGCAGAAAAATATGCTTGTTAATGATGTTTGCTGATAACAGGGGCTGGTTTGTTAATGGATCACTAGCAGGATTGCAGTTTCCACCACCCTCAACAATAGTTGTCAGTAATGCCAGGCCTTCATGTCTGTTGAAAACGCCTGAAGCTTCCTGCAAATTCTGGTTATGAGGTGCAAATTGTCATGCATGATGATCCTCAGAGAAAGAGGATGGCCCCATCGGAACAAGGACAATCTACAATGATATATGCAGAGAAAGGGAGAAGGGACCAAAGCATCTGATGGAAAATGGCTAAGATTTAATGAATCATAAACAGAAAGATGGAAATAGAAAAGGTTTATAATTAGCATAGTAGTTTGTTGAGGCAGCCAGTGCTGGCTAAAATTAAGTATCCAAGCTAAAAAGCAGCTAATCCATGAGGACATGTGGTTATCAAAATCTGAATAATGAACAGAAATGCCATCAAGAACTGACAAAAACTGGTTATCAAAGGATCTTTTCTTATGCAACACTGAATTTAATAACAATCTTGACTTAGCCTGGCTTGGGTGAGTACAAAAACAGAGATGGAGCACCAGTCCAGTTACAGTGACATGTTTTTTTTTCAGCATAATTTCCTGGTTCATTCGAGAAGAAGACAAACTGAAAGGGAAGCTGGTTGACAGATCCATGGCTATGCAACACATCGATCCTTCAGCCAAGATCTAGGGCAAGAAACAGAACCAAGAACCTAGGGCTCTTCCACCAAGAATCCCCCGCAACACTGCAAGAACCTAAACCACAGACCAAATCTCCAAGAACCCATCACGATTCCCCCATCCCCACCCCCTACGCGGATCGGAATCCCCAACAAACACCAGCCCTTGGAAAGCCCTCATTTGGGCGGAAGAAGAGCAGCAGCAGCACAAGAACCCTAGCAAGCAAAAACCAAGGAGGCGGCGGTGGCGTGCTACAGCGGCAGGGGAGGAGGCGGTGGCCAAGAACCCTAGCAAGCAACAACCCTAGCGCCGGGGAGAGAAAGGAACAAGGAAGACGACGGTGATGCGTTACTGGCGAGAAGGCGGCGGAGAGCGTGGACGTCGGATGGGAAGCGGGTCGTCGTCGCCGTCGCCTCTCGCGTCGCCAGCCGCATGCCGTCGCCTCTTCGCTTCTCCTCTCGCGTCGCCTCGCGTCCGGATTGGAACCGGAGGGTCAGAGGTGGGGAATGGATCCGGGCCAGGAACAGGGGGAGGCAGGCCAAACCGGGCCCGTTTCCAATCCGGGCCGGCCGAAACGAACGACGCTTCCGGGCCAGACCAGATTTGGAAACGGGCCGCTTCGTTCCGGCCGGAACTGAGGCCGTTCCGGGCCGTTCCTGGCGCTGCCGAACGAGGCCTAAGATGGAGATGCTGCCGTGGTTGGATCGTCTGGCCGTCCAATGCAGCCACGATTTTTTTTATGGCGGTGAGAATAAAACCATCCGTTGTTCTTGGTGATTATGGAAATTAACCGGAACAGGTTCTGATAACTCTCCGCGAGGAGAGCGCCGCGGCGTCGGTAGCGGGCGGCACGGCGAGTTCCCGTGGCGATCGACGAAATGGGCCGGAACGGTAATGCGGCCTACGTGCGGAAATATTGGTCGGAACTGGATTCCCACGTCGCGAATGTTGGGCTGATATCGCGCTATGGACAGACCACAAACTACCAGCCCAGTAACGACGATCTGGGCCTGAGCCAGATTCCCGTGAACTGTGCCGATATGTTGGGCCGGCCTCAGCAATTGTGGGCTGACCAATTTGTGGGTTCCAGCTCCACATGTCCTGGAGCTGAACCAACCAAACATTTGTAGCTCTAGCTAAAACAAGAGCGGAGCTCGCGAAGCTCGGTGGAGCATTTTTATAAAATGAACTAGAGAGGCAAAGTTAGGTTTAGACTACTCAACAATTACACTCCAGATTCAACTCCTGGATCCATTGTAACTGGCTTTTTTTTCAAAATCAAAAATCAGACCAAGCGAAAAATTAAGAGACCTAAAGTGAACTTATTCCACCCAGATGGTGCTCTGGAATGGGATACCGACGCCGCGTCGCCTTCAGTTGTCCACGGTCTAGCTATTTTTTTTTTCAAAATCGAAAATCAGACCAAGCGAAAAATTAAGAGACCTAAAGTGAACTTATTCCACCTAGATGGTGGTCTGGAATGGGATACCGACGCCGCGTCGCCTTCGGTTGTCCACGGTCTAGCTACTACAAAATCAAGGCCAAAATGCAGTCTTCTGCTTCTTTTTTTAGAAGGGTATTTTTTACCCGGCCTCTATATCCAACCGAATATATGCATCCATTGAAATAGGGAATTTAGTTCTGCAAACAATAAATTCGCTCCATAGAAAATTTGAACTCAGAACCTTGGGGTACTACTCAGGTCACTGTAGCCACTAGGCTATATGCAATCTTCTGCTTAATTATTATTGTCAAAATCAAGGGTCATTTTCCGCTTAGATAATCCGCACGACTTCAATGTTCGATCGTATCAGCATGGAATTTGTTTCACCATTCACCAAATATGAAATCAGCCCTAGGCCTATATATCTAGGGCACTATTACTTCACTTTATAGAGCCTTGATGCTTGTCGCTTCAGCCACAGCGGACAGCGTCCGTCCGTGCGTGCGTGCGTGCACGGTCTCCGTGACGCCGAAACAACTGGCCAACAACAACGATCTGTGGGTGCAGTTTACTGTAGTGCCAAACTTCTCTCTCTTCGTGTCCTAGGATTTGTTTGGATGAGCTTAAGTTTTGAGAAGTTGTCCTTGGTAGTTAACTTATGAGATTCTTGAGAAGCTGAATTTCTCGGTTTCTGACTTTTATTTATTTTATTTTGGAATCTGAATAAAAAGCTAAACTATTTATAAAAGTTTTAATTCTTGGAGCTCGATCATACATCCCCTCCGTCCCAAAAAAAAACTCAACCTAATATAATGAATATAGACATACTAGATTATGTCACATTTCAATCCTAGATTGTTTTTTTTCAGATTTATTGTACTAGATTATATTAGTATTATATTATAGTTCTATGTTAAGTTTCTTTGGAATAGAGGGAGTATGTCACAGCTGTCACCTATCCCAGAGCCCGAAATGTTTGACATATTCCCTCGTCTGGTGCTTTCTGGTAGGCTATCACATGATCATCTCTACCAGTCAGTTCTTGCCGCTCGACCTGATTGGTCACCTAAGCCATTAGGTCCACGACGATCTCTCACCTTGCACACGCCATGGCTACTGTGGTAACAGTGTTATAAATGGAGTGCACGCAATAGGTGAAACTACCCTATGGGTAGCTGCTGCTAGTAGCTTTGAGAGCGTGCAACTTGTCACGTCCAGCTAGAGCGAGTCACTGACTCGTGGGCCCGGACACCGTGCGTTTATTAGATGGCGAATTGTTTAATTAGAGGCTAATTTGGCCTCGACCTGGGACGGGGTTGATAGGCTAAACAAGGGTCAAACCGACCCCTATCCCGACTCGTACTTGGCCCAAATTAAACCTGTGTGCATCGATCGGACCGAGCCGGTTTACCCCAGCACGAATCGTGATGTATCGCTGATCACTTGGTGACTCGGAAACCGAGAGCCCTAGGTAGCTACTAATCCATTTGCACAAATTTAAATACTACCTCCGTCTCAAAATAAGTGCAGCCATGGATATCCGTGCCCAACGTTTGACCGTCCGTCTTATTTGAAAAATTTGCGAAAAATTTAAAAAAATTTAGTCACACATAAAGTAGTATTTATGTTTTATCATCTAATAGCAATAAAAATACTAATAATAAAAAAATTTCAAATAAAACGAACATTCAACCTCAAACGTTAAACGTGAATAGTACAAAACTGCACTTGGGACGGGGGGTATAACGTACCGAATTGAACCCGATCCAAATCTGCACTCAAACCCATGGCATAACTAACCACAACGTCGTCATAAATGGATCACAAGGGAGCAAAAACCACTTGTGAATAAATTTTTACTAATCCCAGAAAGGTAAACTCTAATGATCTGCAACATGGCCAATCAGATCGTTTCAAATATCATGGCCAATCAGGGGCCGTACACGTTCATGCGAAGGATCGATGCAGCTTGCAGAGTAGCTAGCAGTAGAACTTCTGGTAGATTTGCACGTGATTGGTCGTTCCGATCCATTTTGCTTTGGGCTACGACGACTATGAGCAGAGTTCAAGTTGAACCTTGTTTTGTTTACATGCAACGGTTGCCGTGCTAATTAAGCAGTTTATTACCAAGGGAGTTAGTTACTACTGGTCTTGTACTATTGGAGTACAATATTTTGTTGAAGGCATGTGGGAAGAGAATTAATTTTATTCGGGAAGTGAATATTAAACTCTTAAGAACATATCCTCATGTTGTCTATATACCATCTAAATATTTATGAAAAAAATTAAAAAGATAAATTAATATGTGATATATTACTCCGTAAATATACAAGCTATAATTCAACTCTCACAAGTTACAACAAAAATAACTAATCAAACTAATGTATATTCACAATTAAATTTGTATTTTTTAACTTATAAAAGTTGAATCTATCATTGCACATGTTTGTGGAGTAATCTATCACATATTAATCCATCTTATTGATCTTCTAAAAATATTTCATAACTATTTAAATGAAATTCTAACAACGAGATGACGTCCCTCGAGATAGTTTAGAATTATCTTTTATCTATTCGCGATCGAACTCACTGATAATAGGGAGCAAATTCTCTTACGTGTAAGATCGAATCACAAGAACTAAGCCAACCAGAGGGGGGGTGAATGGTTGATATACCCCAAAACCCAAACTTTTAGCGCAAATAAAAGTTACCCTCAAATTCGATGTAAACCGGTCTGACCGAGGTTGATCCGCCGGTCTGACCGAGCTCGTGCCACCGGTCTGACCGGTGTTGATCCGCCGGTCCAACCGCCTGAAGATTGCCTGCCGCGTGTGAAGTCGCCGCCGGTCTGACCGCCGCCTGCCACCGGTCTGACCGCCGGTATGTCGTTGGTTAGACCGCCGAAACCCGATGAAACACAAATCGAAGAACTCTCAAAATAGATGACAACTTTATTACTTCTCTCTGTGTTTACAAAGTGCACCAACATCACTCCTTACAAAAATCTTGACTAAACTCGAAACCCTAACTAAACTAGCAACTCAATAGCTCTCAAAAGCGATACCGGGAAGCCTCACGCTCCCCCTCTATTTATACATGATGTAGGCAGCCTAAAGCCACGAACCAAACTCATACTAAGAGTCCTAAACACCTTAGGAAACCCTCTAGTACAAGACACAAACTTTACATAACCAACTGTACCAAATTTGGACTCCTTCCAAATTCGACTTCGCATCCCATACGCACACTATACCTCCATCGTATGCCATATGGAATCTTCACCAACCACGTGCATCAACTCTAGCCTTAGTATCCCGCATGATATCTGACCACCACGGACATCGTCTTACCATCAAGCCGACTCCCAGTCCATCACCGCAAATACTCTTCCGAGGCATCGAGTCACCTACACACGAAATAAACAAAGAAACCATATTCCGATACCAAGCTATCCCCAACTTGACTCATTGTTAGCAAACAACAGTATTACATACGTATAGTATCCATCTAGAAGCCATAACCATGAAACAATCACGGATATCCAAAGAAACAACCCAAAACCGAAACCGACACAACATCGGCCGGTCAGACCGCGGGCCGGCCGGTCTGACCGCTCGATCACCACCGGTCTGACCGGCATACACCACCCGGTCGGACCGGTAAGATAAAATAACAGTGAATCTGATCATCACCTGAAAATTGATTATCTCCAAAACCACTTCGACGATAATCTCCAAATATCAAAACCAATAATCACAGATACCTATTGTTCATCACAGAATAAGAATCAAAACACACTTTGATCTTACAATCTCCCCCTTGATGAACACATTGGCAAACCTCATAAAAAAATGTTTTGGTGTTTGGAAAAATAAAAACAAAAGTGGTAAAAAACACACTTCGTACAAATGTACACATCGTGCTCAAAAATCCAAAAGAAAACTTCTCCCCCTTTTTAAAAGAAAGAAATTCTCAATTATACACACTGTGCTCAAAAATCCAAAAGAAAGAAATTCCCCCAATTGAACCAAAAACATGCTCTTCTCAACAACTCTCAAAAT